ATTCCCGGGGTGACATTGGGGTAATCTATGCATAGGGGTTGATGCAGGTTTTTATTATCTTCTCTCCAATAGAAACTTTGGGGTCTCCTTGTAGTTCTTTGTGTGGATTGAATATTATGATCATGAAGTTGTTTGATGCATATCATAGAATTAACTCACGGATACTTGTGGTGACATTGGGGTATCTAGGTGACATTAGAGTTGGTTGACGTGTGTCATATGGTGTTATTTTAGTACGAACTCTTGGTTAGATTGATCGAAAAGAATAGCTTCATGTTATTTTCGTACGAACTCTAGGATAGATTGATCGGAAAGAATAGCTTTGAGGTGGTTTCTTAGCCTACAAACATTTTCTATTTTTGTTCTCCGCTAATAGGAACTCGGGAGTGATTCTTTATTGCACTTTGAGGGATAATCATATGATCCAACTATGCTAGCATTGTTGAGAGATTGCACTAGTGAAAGTATGCACCCTAGGCCTCATTTTTCATCATTGCAATACCGTTTGTGCTCCGTTTTACTATTTACTACCTTGCTGTTTTTATTGTTCTCACTACAAAAACTCATATCTACTATCCATACTACACTTTTATCACCATCTCTTCGCCGAACTAGTGCACCTATACAATTTGTCATTGTATTAGGTGTGTTGGGTCACAAGATATTTCTTGTATTTGGTTGCAGGATTGTTTGAGAGAGACCATCTTCATCCTACGCCTCCCATGGATTGATAAATCTTAGGTCATCCACTTGAGGGAAAATTGCTACTGTCCTACAAAACTCTGCGCTTGGAGGCCCAACACGAGTCTACAAAAATAAAGTTGTGTAGTAGACATCAATTGATGAGCCATGGTAATCACTTGTCTGTAAGAGATCAAGCTAGCTAAAAGGACATGGCCAGGGAACGCCTCTCATGCTTCTCTAGCCCCATTCCGAGACCCTCAGCAGATGTTACCAAGGAAGACTCACAAATATGCTCGCCCCACACCAATAGAAAACAAGTCCCCTAAGTTATAACATGAACAAACACATCAATTGCATGAAGTCAAAAAGCAACGACCATCGACATCTAGAGAATCAACCAGATGTGGCGAATGATCTGCAGGCTCGACCTCCATGCACTATCCTTGGTATCGAAACGAGCAATATCAAAGCCAAAACTGAGTAGGGAGGACTTATTTTTGACACAAAAATGCCATTGACGTCTTGTCATCCTTGCCGACACAAAATAAACCTACACAAAGGCGGTGCCATAGTCTACCTCACACATCTCCATAGACCAGGAGGGGTCCATGCGATCGGCAGGCACGCGGTCTGGATGCCATGCTCTCAGAATCACGACCAAATAACCTCTTATCATGGCATTGTCGTCTAGGATTTTCACGGGACGGGAGTGTGCTTCAAGGGAAGTACATTTATCCCAACAAAGCATGGTTGCGAGTAATTCAAAATATCAGGATTGTATAGAAGTATAAAACTGACCAATGATTGATTGATCCGATTGTAATTCCGCATCAAATCATTAGACCTTATACTATGCAAGGTGTTTAAAGGAAAAAAATTCTAAATGCTGGTGCTTATTTGCAGAGGATGAACGTTTAATTAGACACCATAAGCACCGGTGCTTAAGAAAAAACTTCACTTATTTTACTGAAATCTCTTTAAACATCCTGCAAGGCCTTATCAGGCTACATGACAACTTGGTAAAGCAACATGGTCGATAGTGCCAGTAGCACTCATGAACTGTGCCTTGGCTGTCAAGCAGCGGTTGCTTTCATCTTTCCCGGCGTCAAGAACCTAACAAAACAATGTTTCGAGAGGCTTCCGTGCCATGTCGCCGTCTTTGCCCAGACGAAAGATATTCGGATCATATAAAAACAACCTGATGTCATGTAAACAATGTGCACTTGAAGTGAGACAAGTAGGCGATCCTTATCCTAGTACGAACGGCCCCGCCAATCAAATGATCACACGAGCTGGAAACGCATTAATTAGGTGGAAGGCTAATATACTGTGATTGATTGGTAACATCAGCATCTCACATGCGCTTCATGTCTTCAGGCCAATATTGCCCGAGAACTTTATGTTGATTGGTGCACTTGCATGGGCGGTGGAAGAATTAGTGACTGAGGTTTGTTTACTTTAGAGCTGGACCGATCCAGAGTGTATGTGTGAAAGAGAGAGCTTCAAGTCGGAAATGTTGCTTGGGTCAGATCCAGATGACCTCTTTTTAATCTTTCTACATAAATTTTACAATTTCCGTCCTGTCAACTAACTTGAGTTCAGCTTTTGGGTCTTTCTAAGGGCATTTCTAATCAATCCCTTCAAAAATAGAGGAGTAAACCTTAGTGGGTATATTTACTTCACTGAGTTTTGGCCGGACCTAGTCGATCACCTATATATAACGGAGTAAACTTAAATTTGGCTTATACATTTCGTCGAACACTTGCTATGCACCTCCGCGGCGAGTGGCAACTATGGTGATCACCCCGGCGGTGAGCAGAGACACGCAACTGGGAGGAGCAGCAGCAGCATGCACCGGCGGCGGCGAGCAGCAGTGGCAGCACGCAGTGGGGAGGAGTAGCGGCGAGCAGCAGCAATAGCAACACACAGCTTGGAGGAGCAGCGGCGAGCAGCCCGCACCGACGGCAAGCCACAGCAACATGCACCGGCGGCGGCGAGCAACAGCAATGCACAACGGGGAGGAGTAGCAACAGCAGCAGCACACACGGCAGCAGCAACAGCACACACCGGCGGCGGTGAGCAGCAGCGACGCGCATTTAGTGGTCACACCAATAGTAGTACGGGCGAGATCGCCGGCGAGGCCCGAGGTCACCGGCGAGCCCATGGGAGCTTCACTTGAGTCGCCGGCCGGCCATGAGGAGGTCTTTGCGTGAAGAAAAAATATACTCAGCCGCCTCAAGACGAAGTAAATAGAGGGGGAAATTTAGAAAAGGATAAATATTCTACTTCTTTACGGCGGATTGGGGATCAGCTAAGTACCGGTTAAAGGAGTAAAAAACGCATTTTTACTTTTCTAACATGTTATAAAGGATCGGTTAGAAATACCCTAACTCGAATACCACGTAGCACTAGCACTTCAAAGCTGTCCATGTATCGTCTCTCTCCTTTTCCCCTTTATTCCCAAATTTTTCATCTATTTCCTCACTTTTCTTTCTTCCTTCGCTTAAAGAACCAGTTTGGTGGCTCCGTAGAAATCTGCACGACATGCAACTTGAAGCATTACGTTGGGCATATGCTATTGTCACTGTGTCTTAGCAAGATACGTGTTTCAAGTCAAAGTGAACTGCTACTTTGTAGCACCCTTCTACAAAAAGCGAATTTTGCGGGAAATGAATTGTTTTTTATGAGATTTATTTACTAGCTCAAGATGTTGTACCAGCCCGAAAGGGGCCTCTAGTTGTAATAAAGATTATAGTATGAAATCATTGGCCAGATGAGAAGTTATCATTCTTTTCCAGGGCCATGATTTGCTTCATAGATCGTGGCCGTTGGCGTTTCCGTTTGCAAGCTTCTGGATTTAAAAAAGCTTGCTCTGTCGAGGCGGAAGCTCGAAGATGGATCGAGCTATGCTCATGGCTTGTCACCGGTGGATGATGCAGGAGAAGGTAAACTTCGACACCTCTAAGCACCTTCCAGAAGAAAAAAAAGTGAAATTCTTCGATGCATGAAGCGAACCAGAAATTGTAGTGCTAGAGATTTTTATCATGGTGCTATACTACAGTGCCACACTCTATTAAAAACAGACAGCTTTGAGTTTTCAATTTGAGCACTGTGGCAGCTGCAGACCGAGGCGGGACCTGAATATCTTTGCTATGATGCAGTCTTAGAGTCTAGACAAGAGCAATGCAGAATATGACCATAGGATAAAAGAATAGAAAAACAAATCTGGAGCATCGGATGTCCAATGGGCGCTTCAGATCAGGCACGTGGGAGCTGGTGGGAGGGTCTTTATTGTATATAGCAATTACTCAGGGAGCTTTCCGCAAAAGTAAACAGAAATCACCAGCCTAACATTTCAAATCTGAAGTCTCCATTAAGGATCCAACGGCTCCAACTTCATTTTTTTATTTTTTCTATCCTTTGCCCAGCTTCTATTGTAGTCTTGGGCTGATGATATTATCTGATGAGGTCATATTATTATCCTGAAGAACTGACGAGCACAAGTGGGCCAAGAATTCAACAAAAAACTTCCCTGACAGATTCCATCAGTGGACATTTGACCCTACCATGCTTTGTCCAGTACCAATGATGAGTCAAGAAGTATCCAGGAGCTGAGTTCGAGCTCATCTCCTCCCAGATGAACATTAAATTCAATGGGTTTTCTACACTAAAAAGATGATAAAATTTTCTGAAGTTTGCAAAAAAAATCATGCCGAGAAGACGCTGGAAAGCAAAATGAGATCTCCCCCGAAGTCATCTCGGCACGAAAAGTTTACAAGCTCCTAGAAATTTCCATCATATTTTTAGTGTAAAACAAATTCAGACTTTATTTTTTATTTTTTACCATTTGTTTTGGATTCACTTCATACACGGGAGCAAAGGAGCTCGGGTGGAGAAACGCTGCTCTGTTCTCCCAGAAACACAATACGACATCAACTTCTCATCTGGAAACTTACCCCCAAAAAGGAACCAGTATAAGTTGCAAATGATTCCCCCAAAAAAAATAGTTGCAAATGAGCTCAAATACAGGAAAAAACAGTATAAGTTTTCTCAAGAGAATGAATTAATTGAATAGAGAAGGCAAGCCTTCTTTGGGAGAATTGTCATTACACAAGTGTTGATGCAAGATATACAATTCACATTCTTTCGACAGAATTTCCGCAGGTGACAAAACAGTTTACCAGATGCCTCTCATGTCACCTGGAGCCCAATATTCACTCGTCTGCTACATCTGGCACCTGCCCTCTCATGCCACCTGGAGCCCAATATTCATTCGTCTGTGCTACATCTGGCACTCTGATGCCCCAACATTTTGCTTACAATCTCTTCAAGCTCTTCTTCCTCGCGTCAATCTTCTTCTTATCGGCTGGGGCTTTTGTAGCAACAGGTCCTTCCTTCTTGGGCAATGTCGTAGATGGTCCAACAGTGGGCTCAGCGGGAGCATTCTGATCCAGCGAATTTGAGCCTGGCACTTTGGTAGCAGCAGTAGCACATAAAGCCATGGGCGCCGATGGTGCAGTTTCGCATAGATTTGTTGTGCTTGACTGATCCACGTTTACAGAAGTCGACTCGGAGATAGTGCCACTCTTGGGCTTAGCCTTAGGTTTAAGGGCATGAATGCTGGTGTATAACCTGTAGTGTAGATGGTTAAGAAGTGTTCTGATTTTTTAAAAGCTATAGCAATGGCATAAGAAGAAAAAACATCACATCCATAGTCACCTAGACGGGCACAATACTCTAAATTTTGACCAAGCAGAAAGAAAAAACTCAAAAAGGGACTCCCTATATAAAGTGAAGGCAGATAGAGATGTCTGCTAGGTGTCCCTAGTCTATATTGACAAAGTGATGCACTGATGCTCAACAAAAAGTCAAAAGGTAACCTTGCATGCCGTGCATAGTCCGCATAGTTCTCAAGTAACATCTTTCCAGCCTGCTCATTGAGCGCAGATTCTGGGAATGGTTCAATCAGTAGGCATCTCACCACCTTTTAGAATGTTAAAAAGAAACCGACAGTTATTAATCGATAATTACAGATGATGTATTACCCCTAGCAAAACTAGGGCCAAACATTGTTGTTGTATGTACTTACCAGTAGAACATGCCTTAATCCATGAGTAGGATTCCAATCCTTTTTCAACGTGTTAACGCAGATCTCACCACTGCTCGATATGTTTGGATGGAATATTTTGGTCACAAAAAATCCTAAAAAGTGAAGGACAAGTTAAATATTTGTCAGAAATAATCAAGTTGATGCAACTGCTCAGGCTTTCATTTCATGAGCACTTGAGCAGAAAAAATAAATGGCGCGCAAAAGATAGCCAGACCTTTTGGTGGGGATTGAGGGAAGTCACGGGACAAGACTAGCTTCATCCGGAAAACCCCATTCTCATACGGAGTCCCGCCTGCATCATTTCCAATATCCATTTTCCATTAAACAGTATAATGAAGAAGTTAAAAAAATTACAAATTCAGATTATGACATAATTCTTTACAAAATGAACATGTTTTTCAGTATTCAGTTATGAACACTAGCAGCATATGAAAAACAAGTGGAAAAATTATAACAAATGCTATTAGAGGGAAACATCTCAATTTTTTTAGTGTTTATAAACCATTTTAGTGTTTATAAGCCATCAAAGCCTATTAATTGTAACCTTACCAGGGCCATCTATATCTGCACAAATACTTGTGAAGTCATCGTCATTCACAATCACTCTAATCCCTTCTGGAGGTGACTGGTCAAGATTCTTCAATTCTTTAGCCAATTGCCTGATGACATTTGGTGGGAGGTTTTCGTTGGTTGCCTTCATAAACATGAACACTCCACATTAAAATCATGTTAACAGCACATCTTCCTATCAGAATGTTGTCATGAACATCAAAACATTTGCCATGAAAAATGAACTGTAATAATCACCATGGAAGCAAGATGGCAAATAGCTTTGTTCTGGCTTCGCAAGCAACTTTAGTGAGCAGATGTTCTTCCACAATAGTGATAAATTTCTGATAACAGATGCAGCCTACAGGAAACAGCAGTTAGTGTCAAAAGCAAGCGTATTCGAATGAATTACTTTATAATATGTCTGAAGCCCAAGAGACTATACTTACAATCTTCAAATTTCATATGGAAGATATTATGAGCAACAATTATTATGCTTAATTTTACACATGGCTTCTGCAAACATTTATCAAATTCTAAGGCATACAAATAAATGCCGAAAGGCTGAAAGGTACGAGTGGGTGGAATCTACATTCGAACGAGAGGGGTATTGTTTTTTCTAAGATTTTTGGGAGAAATTTTTCAATAGCTCTCTTTGTATGTTTGCCTGTTTTCTGTTACTTTTGTTAGATGTGGTGACTAGCAAAGTTAATATTTTCAACCTACAAGTATTGGGTTTGACCACACAGACGTTGCTTTCCACTTTCCACAAAACATGGCTAGTTTGAATTAAGCATCCATACTGTAATATCCATTCCTAAAAGAGCTTTGTTTTTAACCACACATGTTTCTATCTTAATAAAACATTCTATATTCACTTGTTTAGATTCTTAATACAGTTTTTTTTTCTCCAGATGACCATTGAAAATCAAGTATCTACTGTTGCGGCTTGACGGCAATCTAAAGAACAAATTGCACTGCCAAAATAATTCTGTAGGACTTGGAACATATGCATGAATGACTAGACATTGATCATAGCATCACATGTGCCTTCTTTGATTTAAATGACTTCCTGACTAAATAGTGCCTGACTGTTGATGCGCATCATGCCATTAGCAGTTTAGCTGTCTAATTCATGCCATTAGCTGTTTAGCTGTCTAATCCCACATACATAGGACCCAAACCCTAAAGGTTTATTTCTCAAACTTTACACCGCCATCACGATCAGTGATTGAGGAAAGGGGAACCAACATAGCAATTAGCTTCGGGCTCCAATGCAGTAACAAGCATAATGGCAAGAGCGCACAGATCATATTAGCCACTCTTTGCATTGTGAGAAACAAGCACGTTAGGAAGCGATCAAATCATAAAATTGGTAGCTAATCAGTGCATCTGACTGTGGCATTTCGATTGAACTAAACACAAGGTCCTATGCTTGCAGGTGAAGATTACTTGCACCCAGAATTAAGTTGCTTGCACAAACGTTAACCCGGTTCTTCTTTCCATGCACATCTAAAGATCAGAAACAGAACTCCCCACTAAAACCATCAACTCCCCCGGCCTCTCGGTTTGTGAGCTTTGTGTCTGCAGGCTGCAGCTAACATATCAGACTCGCATGAACCACGAAGCAAGTCTGTCCAGACTCAAGCTCTCTCCCCAAGACACCTGTGCCATACCAAGTAGCTCGACTTCTTACAGATCGCCGCCCCCTACCATGTGATTCTACAAAAGTACGCGTCTATTTGCACCCATGAATACCAATCGAGAACAATACCGCGAACTCCCCACTAGAAATCTCGAACCACTCGTCGCCTCGCTTGACAGAATGGGCAAACCCCGCCACCCGCCTGCCTTTTCCGCGCAATCCGCCGAAACAATCCAAAATCGTCACTCGCCCAGACTCCAAACCCCCCCAAAATCGACCCCGGCATCCGCCAACCCTACCGCGGATCGAACTAAACCAGCAGATCACGAGTAGGAGTAGGCACCGCAAGAACCACGATATGGCCCGGAACAGATCGGCTCGAACCGCAGCGAGAGACGAATCGGGGGAGGGATCGGCGGGTCGCCGCTTACCGGAGGAGGAGGGGGAGGAGCGACCAATCTGGGTCGGGCTCGCGGGGAGGGGAGGGGAGGGGAGCGGCGCGCGTCGCAATGATTGGAGCGCGAGCCCGTGGAATTTGGGGGCGGAGGGAGGTGACGTGGCTTTCAACCAGGCCACGGAGCGGGTGTACTTGTAGGAGGTCGCCACCGGATCACCGCGTCCGCGGGGGAGCGCGGGGGGTGGGGCCCGGGAGCGTGAGACCGTGAACGGTCGGCGGCATAGCCGTTGGAGCCGTGCCACGGCGCCGCCAGCTAGGCGCGTCCTTTTGAAATTATGGCAGCTGCCGCCAGCGGGGACGGAGATGCCGATGCGCGATGAGTCATCGGGATCGCTGATCGGCGGTGGACCACCGATTAGATGGTGGAGGAAAACGTGGTAAGACGACGAACGGGGTTGATTGATTGATGAGAGCGGCACCTGTTGTGGGGAGTTGTTGGCAGATTCTGAATTGAATTTGCATCTCGACGTGGATCGCCGGGTTGTAAACGTTCTTTTTCCTCACTGTAGTAAAGTAGGCATGTAAGCAACCATCAGTGTGGTTTTTTTAGATAAAAGGCTAGAGCCCGACTTTATAAATAAAGCCATCAGGTAGAGTTAACATAGACCACCGGAACAGCGGAACAGACAGAAAAGGCATCATCCTAGAGCAACGAGAAAGAGTCTAAGTACATGGCTCCCAGGCCAGTACACGACACGCAGGCCGGAGATAAACGAAAACAAAAGCCAACCACCAACGCCTAGGTGCCTGCTTGAACGGGGGAGATGGAGATAGCAGAGTTCCGGATCTTGGCCAACATGGCGTCGAGGGCGTCCCTATCTTCCTCCTTAGTGTGGTTGGACGGTTGACTCGCATTTTTCTGAATTTATTTCAAGATTTTCGTTGATGCATGTTTAGTGGAAGGAGACGTTCCCGTCGACTACGAGACGCCTATGATGACTTCGTCAATCTCAAGATGATATGATTGCTCAGTCTCTCGGAGATGCTCATATTGGTATATTGTGTGTGTGCGCGCGCGCGTTTATAGGGGTAAGTGTACGCGCGTATGTATGAGCGGCGGTCTGCATTGTGTTCTAAAAAAAAGTCAAATAGTGCAAAGTTGACCAAATTTACAGAAAAACTAACAACTAAATTAGGATTATTATTTTTTGCGAGAGGAAAAGGTTTTATTCCCTGCGAAAAGAGTCTTTAAAGAGGGAAAATTTTCTCGATGCATGGGGGGTCCTTTGTGTAGGCATCCCTCAGTGTTACACTCGCTGCAACTATACCTTGCCTATTGGTCTGCTATTCCGCTACTCTATTTTGTTCCTTGTGAAGCTTCTGCGGAATGAACTCCCTATCCCATCAATGACAGGATCTCAACAACAAGATGTCTCCATACGTTGAGCGATCTAGACCATCACCAGATAAGCTTGCCAAGCATCGGAGGAGTCGGATTGGACAACGATCGGGACATCTAAGTGATGTATGGCCAAAGCCATGCGCTGCATCGGTGTGTGAATCTCCGCCTCGAGCACATCATTACAGTTGAATAAAAACCTATTGGCGGCAAAGATCACACTCCAATCACGTCTCCTAAGGACCATAACCGCCGATGTCATGCAAACGATGACCAGGAAAGCACCATTCCACGGGCAGGGCCACTCGGTTCGTCGAAGGAGGTGGCCAAGGCGGAGCTGATACAAAACTCTTCACCTCCGGTAAGGGTAAGACATGAGTAACATCCATAGACATCTTCCCCTTAACAATTTCATTTGTGGTGTACCTCCTAGCTTGGTTGATCGACTTCATGTAGTTATCAAGAAATTCAACCAACGCTTCAGGGGAAGGTACTTCCTTGCCATGCATTAAGTCTGAACATAGTTGCCAAATTCGCCACATTATTATATTTTTGACCAGTTAAACAGTAGGAAAGGCTCCTACTGCATATATATTAAGGCACCAAAAATGTTGCATATTTACATTGGAAGAACTAAGCCCACACCTTCAATGTAGGGGAAAGGGGGGTCATATAAAAAGGTATGAAAACCTAAGTATAGAAATATCTTATGGAATTTACAAAGGCAATGATAAGTGCTTCTTATGCTCGGGAGCTCTAAAGCTCAAGTTGCCAAAAACATACTTGAATCTTCGTTTCCAGGATGCCATAGTAGGGGAGATGCCCCTGAATAAATTGTTGTTTCTCTCCTTCCAAAGACTCCATGTTGCCACAAGAAATATATACACAAACATGGGCCCATTGTAATTTTCCTTAGCTAGCTCAATGAGTCTTAGTCTATCATTATGATGTGACCAGTCAACGCCCAGAATTCTCCAACAAACGTTGTTGAAAGTGCAGCGGAAGAATAGGTGCTCTACTGTTTCTTCAACATGGTTTTCACACAAACGGACAATTGATGAGTCCAATTTATGTGATAATTATACTAGGTGCTTTGTGCCTACATGGTAGGGTTTGTGGAAATTTACCGTGTTCATGCACCTCTTTTTGTTGATAATCTCTCAGATAATGCTTTTTGGACCATTTTAGCATAATTAGTAGAATGCCCGTGCGTTGCCACGGGCTTTTGAAATATTTTGCTGAAGTTACATAAACATAATGCATGTTAGATTTCACATGTAGAGAAAAGATAGCATGGGAACAATTGGGTAATAATTGAAGTCCACTTCCCTTGCAATGTAAATTGATTAAAAAGGAAATTTGACAATTTATACATACAAAGTGATTGGTCAACTGAAAATCTATTACAGATTAATTTTCACTTGATGCACTTAAGAAATTCTCGCACGGTTAGGAATGTTGTCTATCTAGTTTTTTTATCTTACCTGCCCAACCTTATTCTGACCTCAACTACTCTCTCAACTCACCCAGCCCTCTCACTCTCTCACCCCAGACACATCCTTGCAATTTCCTAAATTTATATTATCTTGAATATAGTGATAAAAAATAAATGCTTGTATTTTGAATGGTATGATAATGAAATATATATATTTACCCGTCTATGCTCCTTGGAATACCATAGGAAAATAAACTTTGTCATCTAGCTATGTCGAAATTCCTAGCCGAGTTGCTCTATTTCGGGTGTGCTGTAATTCCCTCGCAAATCTTGTGTGGTCAACCTCGGCCAGAGCTTCTACTTCTTTGGTTGTGCGGTCATGAAT